TTGGGCCATGTGCCCGACAGTACGGAAGAAGTCTGGCTTGTGGATCTATTCGAAATATAAGCTCCCGACTGTTGCATGTTGAACTGAGGTCGAAACTGAGGTCGTGACATTTGCTGTGAGTGCCAGACAGCCGCTTGCATAGGTCCGCACCAGCGAGGGAAGAAAGGTAGTTCTTGTCGTACTGGTTGGACTGGTCCACGAGGTTCAGAACGGTTTCGTCCCGGCACTGGGGATCTAGATCGATCCGAGCCCGCCATTGAATCAAGGCACGCAGAGTTTCTCACTATGCTGCGGGGCATAAACAAAACTGCAAGAGTATTATACACGAAGGTTCAATCAAAGAAGGGAAACCTTAAGTTGAATCACTCATGAAGTCAACTTAGAACACGAACATCGCAGAAAATTTACAGCAAGTAGCAATAACAGCACATCGCAATGAAGTTGACAATACCTGGGTTCCTGAAGCAAGTGAAAGAATCAGATTGGGGCAACCGTGCTTTTTTGATCAAAAGCGTGTCTAGGTTGTCCCTAGAAATGTCAAATTCGGTTTCCTGTTTAGGCCGAATATAGCTAATAATACATGATAACAGCTGCTCAGTGCTGAGAGCCTGCCATCAACGACGACCTGAGTGACGTTCCTCATTGCTGCGATAGTTATAATCTTCTGAGGATGTGTCGCCAGCGTCGATCTTCTCAGTCAGGTTTTGCCACTTGAGAGCGACAAACTTCAATCCCACATGGCTGCTGTGGGCAATCGTGTACTTCTCAGACGTGGTGACGATTACTTTTTCAGCCACAGCGATCTGCGCCATTTCATTGCCTCCAGCTTTGTAGGCGGTGTGGTTGTGTGCTCCTCGATACATCGCCCCAGTGACGATATCTTGTTGTCCTTTCCCTTTCTTCTGGATGGCGTCGAGTAGCTCTCTTTCCGCCCATTCTGGGATGGTCTTGTCACTGTTGGATACTTCCCTGCCAAGGTAGAAGGCCCCGAAGGTTGGCATGTCGCAGCGTTGAAGGTTTTTATGATAGGACCAGTTGGCTGGTCTGATCTTACCTTCAAGGAGGATGAGCTGAGAGGTATGAAGTGACGTCCCATGAAGTAGCGCCCATGTGTGGTTCTGACGTTTGCGAAAGGGAGGTGGCATCTGAGAAGTGACTGGTGTCAGGCAAGGGCAGGATGAGTGCAAGCATGTTGGTGGCTGGAAGTTCTCGGACGTGGGAATTTGTGAGATCATAATCAGGCAGAAAGTGGGTGCTGAAGAATAGTTGGACCGCTTTTTTGATGACATCCGGAGGAATGCGGTGGTCGACCTGATGTAACTGCTCACACGCCTTTTCGTAGTCGTGGTGGTCCATAGTTTGTGACGGTTGGAGTCTTTCAGCCGCCGGAATTTCATTGGCCGCTCGCATCCTTTCAGGATGATTCAAGGCAAACCTGATGTTTCGAAACGACTCTTCCTTAGAACCGTCTTGAAGGTTAATGGCAACATGTCCTGGAGGGACATTGACTGAGCCATGGGATTGGTCTGAACCTGATGTGTGTGCGGGTTTCTTCGTCTGGCGATATGATGTGGTGGAATCGGATGAGAATGCCGTGGGTGGTTTGGTGGAAGAGTCGTACTGGTTGTGATGACTGGCTGATGGTTTTGACTAGTCAATCCACCCTGAAGCGCTGGGTGCATTTGAGGACTTTCAATAGTCCTTCCATTGTCCTCTGGATTGCCACTTGTTGGTGGTATATTGGTCGTAGTGGTAAGATTGTGTCTGAGTGTTGGTGTTGTGGACAGACTGTTGTGGGTGGTATTCCCACGATGCAGGTTGGAGGGTGGCCGGTGTGTGAGTTGGTTCTTGTGGTGAGTGGTCATCTTGTACTCGATGTCGTACTTCTCGACGTTGTGGAGATGCTGAGCGCAGAGTAATAGACGTAGCCCTGCTTGGTTGTCGTGAAGCATGTCTGGATGTGGAGAATCTTCTGGAGGAGGATCGTGGTCGTGATGAACGACGGGCTCGTCGTGTGGATCTGCGACGACGAGGACTGCGAGGAATAGAGACTGGCCGTTTGTCAGGTCTCCTGGATTCGGATCGGTGGCGTTGGGACCGGGATCGTCGTTGAGATCGGTGATGTGATGTTGGGACTTCATTGGGTGGCTGGGGATGACTTATACTTGCTGGTGGTTAGCTTTGTGCTTTTGTGCCTGGTGCATGTGCTATAGATTTGAACCTGTTGTACATGTCATGCCACTGCATGTCATGGAACTGTGTTAGATCCAAGGGAAACACCTTTAGCTTTTCATGGCTTCCTGCACTTCCTACCTTTCCCAGCTCCAGCAAGACTTGTAAGTTTAAGAGAACCAGTGGTTAAATAGCAACCTAAAAGCCTGACAACGACATGAGCATCAGCGCTCATCATTGAAGAAAAAATCTTTGGCTCAAGGAGAAAACATGTTTCCACTCATTTTTTGTTTGTAGGCTGCTGACCAAAAAAATATGTTTTGGGAAAATTTTGGATTGAAGGTTCGGGTAGCCATAGTTTATCGTGACTAATTATTTTTTTTTCGACAGCTTTGAACCTTCAGGCATCAAGCTGCTCCGCACAGCAAGGGCTGACCGAAAATGAAAATCTAGTTTGGTAAATGTGCATTTTTCACAACTTGGATTCAAGGCGTTTTGTAAGACTGGTTCCTATCATCCTGAAACGGTTGATTTTCCAAACGGTTTCAAGGTAATGTAAGGTACTAAAGCATTAAGAATGACCAAGACAATACCACATATCTAACAAAGTCATTGTTTTTTTTGAAACAGCTGATCTTTTTCCTTCAGGCCAAGTGGTTGGGGGGGGCAGGACGGAACATTTAATCATCTCTAGCGCTGTTCTTTTGAACTTGGCTTAAGGGTGTCACTGAGTAATAAGTAAGTGTCTTGCACTAATCTCTTGTGGCCTCTGACTGTCATGCATTCAGGTTTTGTACCAAAGTCATGGTTGGTCATCATATTTCACCAAGAAGAAAAATTCGAAGACTACTTTTTTAATATTTTTGATCAGGCCATTCCATCCCCGCTCAGCCATGCCGTCTTCATCCACTACAAGGCTGGGAACACCGTGATGGTGTCACACAATTAAGACGCCGTGATGGTGTCTCAGGACGCTGTGATGGCGTCGAAAAAAATGAAGACACCGTGATGGTGTCGGCCAGGACGCTGTGATGGCGTCACAGTCCAACGCCGGGATGGCGGGGCTGATTCAAGCCGTGATGGCTTCTCATTGCCAAATGCTGTCCGGAGCTCAACGGTCAAAACAGGTTCAGTAGAGGTAGCCATTGAGGCTTCGGAAACGTTTCTTCATAATCAAATTATCATGACAGTCATAGCAATTTTCCACTTGGCTTTAACAAGTGACCTGAGGACCCTTTTTTTGATAATAAAAAAGGGTCTCCAGGTCACTTGTTAAAACTGTCCGAAAAGGGCCAATGTATACATCAAGAAATTTCAAACCAAGTGGAAAATTGGCAGACAGTCATGGTTTCTAAAACGGTAGGTGCCCATAATTAAATGATCATGACATAGGGCCTGGTTAATCATGGTTCACAAAAGTTGTAGTACTGAAGAGTAGGGTCCATCTGGGCTCTAGTGCCATCACAGCCGGTCTAGCTCAGTGTACTGGGGGGCGCATGAATTCGGAAGCCTTCCCAACCATGACTAACGGTGTCTTGTTTTTCATTTGATATACTTACATGCATATTTAATATGGATGATACCATAAAATATCAATACACCTTTGGTTTATCACCAGCATTCATGGCATATTGATGGATAGTGAATGGTGGATAAGTAAACTGATGGTTGATGTTAAATTATCAATACCCCCTATGATATTCGGAAAGAGTTCAAATTGAATGTACAGCATGCAACTCAACATTAATCATGTCATTTTGCACTGGAGCTGAGGTGGTTGCAGACGTTGGCAAAATGGAGCTGAGAAGCACCTCGGCCAAAGTCGAAAGGTACCATGCACAACATCTAAGTCTAGTAAGGACGGATGAAGAACCACAGCGCCATCACAGCGCTATTCTAATCAAGTAAGAGCCATCACAGCTCTATTTCAATCAAACCACAGCGCCATCACAGCGCAAGTAAGAGCCATCACAGCTCTATTTCAATCAAAATGATGTGTAGCAGACATCACGGTGCTACTTGAACCCAAATGAACTGTAACTTGGGTCAAAATGAGTCATAGTGATGTCTAAGTGCCATTAGGGTCCAACATGGGTAGTCACGCATGACTAAGCTGAATTGCAGTGCCAACTGAGGTTGGTTCTTGCTTGCGGGGACATTCTTTGCAGTGCGGGGGCCAGGCGCTGACGGCGCTGGGATGGCGCTGGGATGGCGCTGTTTTAATGGGCGGCCCTGTGATGGGGCTGATTCTTCCATGCATGGTGCTGTGATGGCGCTGTGATGGCGCTGCGCTGTTTTTATGGCTGGCGCTGTGATGGCGCTGTTAGGGTATGTATGTAATTTACTTAGTCGGGGTGATCTACTAAATATGTTTGGTGGGGTTGGCGCTGCGATGGCGTGGATGTCGCTGTGATGGCGGCGGCTGTCAGGTACCCTACGGTGGGCCCTACGGCGATGATCTTTCTTCGGATGGGTGGGCGGTGGGGGTGCTCAGCTGGGCATTGTTGTTACTCATTCATAGCATGGGACATCGCCTTTTTGATCTCCCCAAAGTATTGTGATTGTTCAGAACCTACTCTAAGGCAGGTCGCCTAATGCCCGAAAGGCGATGTCCCAGGAACACATGCAGCGTGAAGATGATGGGACATCGCCTTTTGTCCTTGACTTGACGTGTCACAGCGCAGGCACTTTGTTTTCAGATCAGATAAGACAACATCAGTTCCCGCAGATGACCTAGACAAAAAACATGGTTTGCACAAATTGCCGCATCAGACACACCAACCACCTGATAATTGTTCTTAGAACCAAGTGCGTTGGCCCCAGCAGCAATGCCGCAAGCTGTTCGCAAACACCGGTTGAAGAAGAAAGAGAAGAAGAAGACCGCCAATGTCAAGGCTATTGTGACCCAAGCGATTCTGGCAGCGTCGCTCTCTCCGCAGATCCTGGAGAACCCCAAGGCTTTCACAATTGGCTCTGCATGCAGCGGGTGGTGCAGCGAACTTTTTGCTTGCCATCGTCTGCAGCTTCCTTACATTCCAGTGTTTGCCTGTGACATCAACGCTCACTGCAAGAAGGTGGCGCAAGATACATGGGGCCATGCCTTTTGGTATGACAATTGTTGCAGTCAAGATTTTCTTGACAGCCCATATGTCGATGTTTTTTTGGCAGGGTTTCCTTGCCAGCCGTGGTCCAGAGCCGGAAAAGGTGAAGGAGAAAGGGATGGCAAAGGAAGAGGCAGCATTGTTTGGTTCCTTATCTGTTGGATTGCTGCCCACTTGCCCCGCGTCTTCATACTCGAAAATGTGAAAGGGATTCTGGACCCTAAGCACTGCGAATTTTTTTTGCAGGTGCTAGAAGAGTTGAAGAAACTCAAGAAAGATGGCCGGGACGCCTATTACTTGTCATGGCGCATGCTGAATGCATTGGACTATGGGACTCCCCAGAACCGGGAGAGAGTGATGATCTGCGGGATTCGCTCAGATGATGGAGCTCGTGAGATGGCTTGGCCGCCGCCAGTCCGCGTGAGAAAATCTATCCATGGCTACATTGATAGCGCAATTGAGGGCGACACGGCATTCCCTGGAAGGTTGCCAACTCCGAGAAGTGAAAGACGGAATGTGGAACAAGTCCTGAAGAAATTGCAATCACAAGGACGGCAGCCGTTGCAAAGCCCTTTTGTCATCGACATTGGCGGATCAAAGCCTCATTTCTCAGAGGGGTATTCACCTTGCATTACCCACACCCGTGGAGGCAGTGGTGGACATTGGCTGACGTGGAAGCAAAGGAAAATGACAACTGTGGAGTTGATTCAGCTCATGGATGTGCCGCCCGCATCACTTCAAATGAGCCGGGTGAGTCCGAGGCAGATTGGGCTCATGGCGGGAAATGCAATTCCCGTTAAGATGCTGTCCCGTGTTTTGCGGGCAGCTCTGCAGAGCGCCAACATGGCTTGAAGATTTGAAGTGCAATAAAAATTTAGGCAATTAGTGCATGGAGCGGCGGCAGACAGTTTGGATGCGACATCAAAATAATGCTGCGGTCCTGTCCACTGGGAAGTGACTTGACTTGAATTACCTTTTTGCAACCTAATCGAAAACAAGCTGGTGCTGATTTTGCCGGGTTTTCATGCAGGTTTTGCAGCAAGCTGGTGCTGATCTGAGTTTTGCTTTTGCCGGGTTTTCATGCAGCATGTCATGGGACAAATTTGCAGGCAGTTTTGTTCAGATTGGTTCTTCAGGTGAACCCATTAGGTGAACAATTTGCGCGTGCTTGCCTACTTGCATTTTCATCGCAGTTTCATATTCAAGAAGGGAGAGGGCCGCAAGCCCATTCATGTAGCAAATGTTTTGCAATGCAACATAGTAACATTGCAACATCGTATGAAAGTAAGGACGACTTTTTATGTGAGTTTTGATTTTACAAAATATCAATCAGAGCCGCCGGGAAATTCAAACCTTTTTTTGTGACAACCAGAGCTTGCATGAGATAGTACAAGCTCAACAAAAGCTTCTAATTTCACTGTCTGGGAATCCATTGCCGGGGGACGCAATGGGAAAATTCAAGTTCAATAATGAAGTTGATATCGAGGCTGACATTGCACACGTACAAGGATGCAAAGATGGTGAATGTTTTCGGTGCAAATATCTGAAACACCGAGAGGTTTGGAAAAAAAAGTTGCCTTGGTTGATTGAAAAGAAGGAAGGTAATGATTGGGGGCTTCTGTGCCAACTATGCGCGCAGCATGTGCCGAATCTTTCTTTTGGCCGAGATGGCTTTCAGGGGCCAGGAACATTGAACACGTTGCAAAGACACGAATCTTCACATCAACATCAGATGGCTGAGCGCATGGCATTTGGTGGATATGATGAGTTTGCTGGCTGGGCACCCTCTGCAGAAGAATTTCAAAAATTTGCCGGCCTCCGCTTGACACACTCGTCGCTGCGGAAGTTGGGCACAAAGGGCATGGGAGGACGCTGGAAACTAGGTCGTCTCCAGAACTGTCTTGGGATGTCTGTGCAGAGGTTGGATTGCTCCTTCCTTCTAGCTTCGGAAGCGGTGGTGCTTCACCAGGATGTTCGTCGTTTGGTTCTGATGGTGCGGTTCCGGGCTTGCAGTCACACCCTCGAGGTAAGAACGGGTTTGCTCGGCATTTATCACTTGGAAGACTCTACCAGCACATCATTAGTATCTGCCTGTGAGCAGATTTTGTGGGGTTTTGTCGAGGAAGATGCAGACAAGTATGAGAAGCTCAGGCAAAAGGTGATCCTGTTGAACATGGACGCAGCCGCTGATGAGCAGCTTGCTGGTCGTTTGATGAAGATGAGTGAGGGGCTGTATCCAAACGCCAAAGCTGTAACGCGAGACAGGTGCCATGCTGCCAGGAGAATTTTGCAGCGGCCTTTCAAGGCTGTGCCTGAGATTTGGCAAACTTTCAGTGATTTGGTTTGGGGCTCAACATCAATGCCGAATACAATCCAAAGCAGTGATGTGCTGAGAAAAGTGTTCAACCAACACATCTGTGCAACTGAATCCACGGTGCAGGGTGCTCGAATCAAGTCCTTATCCCTAAGAAAACAGAGATTTGATTCACACCAGAAGGCTACAGGCAGGCTTTGCCTCTGGATGCATGCGACAGTCATGACTGCGATCTACGCTGCTACTTTCAGGAAGAATGACCGTGATGGGGAGCGGGCGCTGCAGTTCCTTCGCGGCGTCTCGGAGGAGAAGATGGTCCTTCTCGCCATGCTGGCAGACTTTAGTGATGAAGCCACCTCAGCCATTCGCGTCATGGACTCAGAGGACAGTGACACTGCAAGCCATGTGATGGAGCTAGATGTTTTTTGCAGCCGGGTGAAACATCTTTTCATTGACCAGAACGCTTCACATTCTGGCTACACCAAGTTCGTCATTGATCAACTACAGAAGCGGATTGCCTCTTGATTTTCTGGGCATGTTTTCAGTTTTTAATGTTTCGTGTTTTGGTTTCAAAGCTCTATTAAATTTGCTTGCAAACAGACAGAAGCAGTTTGTATGAGGCCTTTACAGTGGATGGACAACCCAAAGCCCTGGGCGGTCCCAGCAGAGTCACGCCACACATGATCGCAAGATGCTTTCAGTCCATGAAAACTTTGGTGGCCCTTTGCACTGAAGTAATCGCTGCAGAATACCCTACATTCGAGCTGCTCTCGTCACTACACATTTTCGATGTGTCGGAGGTGGCCCGCAAGAATCGGCACGAATCTGCAGACAACATCAGCTCAGTTCACACTGCCGCGGACCGGTTGTGCAAGATCTTTGATGCTTCCTTGGAAGATTTCTTGTCGCAGTATTGGGATATCAAGCCCATTGCCTGCCACCACAACTCGTCAATGAGTTGCAGCAGCTTCCAATCATGGAAATTTGCGCTGGACAAAATCAGTGCTCGCAAGTCCACTAGGCTGCAGCATCCTTCTGAAGATTTACGCTGGATTTTGATTCATTTTGGAGCTCTGGATGGTGCAACAACTTCTGGTGTAGAGCAACACTTCTCCAGAATGACCCGCATTATCCCTGAGGAAAGGCTGCTGCTGTCTGAGGAGAATCAGAGCCTTAACTTGTGAGACGTTGTTTTTTTAATGTTTCTCCCATGTTCATGTTTCTCATGCAAACGCTTCAGATTACAAGTTTTATGTAATTCTGTAAGTCGCTCATGCCTTCCTTGAGGAACTTGGAGCTGAAGTTCATGTTTGATTTTGGCAACCGGTCGCGCAGTGAATGCATCGCGCTGGCCCAAAAGGTTTGGTTGGAATGGTATGGTGCGCCCAGAGACTTCAGTCAGACCATCAGACTTGACACTGGCAAGAAACGGGTTATGAAGGAAGGGTCAGAGAATTTGTTCATTGCAAAAAGACGTCGTTGTGCAGATGAGACTGTGCAGTATTTGACTTGTGAGCAAGTGCGTACTGCGGCCTCTGTCCATGTTCCAGATGACTGCGAGAAGGTCAACAAAGAGTTGCATTTTCAGTCGAACAAGCAGTACAAGAATCAAATCCAGAGTTATCTTTGGGGACACCTCACAGCGGCGGAAGTTCCAGAAGGTCTTGTTGATGTTGCTGAACAATTTTCAGCGGCTCAGGACAAACAGCACATAGACAGAGTCAAAGATGCGTCCAAGAAGCAGGCCCTGATGGCTCCAGTGCCACCGCGTTTTCACCGCGCCAATCAGTGGATCTTTCTCGAAGACGCAGAATGGAGCCAAAAACGTGAGTTTCAAGGATGCAAATTGACTGATGATCTTTTACTCCCTTTGTTTTATGTGGTGTCTGACCCAAGCAAGCCACCGCAGTCAGTGCTTTGGGCAGCGACGGTACGAGGAGGATGCGTGCTAGATCTCGAATGCATGCTCAACATCATTGCAGATCGCCCTTACAATCGCAACAAAGGCACTGCCTATTTGTATGATGCTGCCTACTCTATCAAGCGACAGATCTTTGTTTGCCCCAGATTTGCAACGTCAAAGCCGGAAGTGAGTCAGATCCTGAGCCTGTGTATGTGACTTGGTTTTTCAAAAGTGTTTCTTTTCATAGTGCGGGAGTTAGTTTCGATAGATTGTCCCACATGAAAGCTTCCTTCCCGTTTTTTGATTGCACAGGCAACAGGCCAGCTCAAAGTGGAAAAGCATTGAGTCTTGGGAAGACTTTGCTGAGAAAACAGCTAGAACAAAAAGCAAGTGGCAAGTACTGGCACTGACTGTTCCACCGGTGGTTGCTGCGCTGGGCCTGGACAACGCAATGTCCAGCAAAGATTTCATCAACTTTGTGAGGAAGGTCCACTGTTGCAGCCGAAATGCTTGCGGGCTGTAGTCAGCCTAATTTGTACAGTAAAGTCTTTGTGGCCGGGGTATTGGAGCTGAAGGGCTGATAGAAAAATAGATTTTATGATTTTAACTCCACGCCGGGATGGCGTTTCTTCATAGGCAGTGATGGCGTTTCTTCATAGGCCTTGATGGCGTTTCTCAAACAAACAAAGTTGAAACATGCTGTAGACCATCCTTCTGCTCAGGTCATGGACAACTATGGTTGACGCGGCGCATGGGAGCCCAGTCACTTCATTGAACTTTTGATGCGCTGTGATGGCGCTTAGTATGCACTCATGCCGCTTTGAGATGTCACCATGTCCCCGTTCTCGCAAAAAAAAACAGATTCAGCAACCAATGGTAAAGCCTTCAGATTCAGCAACCATTGGTTGCATGTGATGACATTTGATTTCATGTGAGTGGGTGTGAAAGCGTAGTGATGGCTCCTATAGAGTTGTCACTGCTGTCAACAACCCAGGTAGGAACCTTTTTGCTGAAGCTCCCGGCCCCGGTATCCCACACTGTGGAACTCACAGGCAGAGGCCCTCGGGCGGTCGGAAACCCCGGGCGACCAGTGACGAGCTGGACTATAAATTCTAATGAATATATAAAAAATAGATTTGAGGGTGATGAATATTATGCAACTTGTTGCTCATTTTTGGAAACGCAGTTCATGCGCTCAAAGTCGTACTTTTTTTGAGAGTCTCTGATTGATCGGAAAATTCTTGTTCCTGACAAGTCATGTCTGTCTGCCATGTTCATGATTTGTGCTGCTACTTCAGATTGCGTGTCAATATGCTGCAGCGCTCTTTGATGTTCACAAGTGATCACCTGATTTGACTTCATTGGCAATTACAGCGTGATGGCGGATGCGGTGAGCGACATCAATGCCACCCACCTGAAGACTTTGGAGGATGCGCTGAACGTGGTGTTGGCCCATCCAATCTTCGAGACCATCCAGTCCATGCAGCCCGCGCCCATCGATCGCAATGCGGAGGCCTGTGAAGCTGGATCTCAAGTTTCTTGGATATATAAATTCATCGGTTACTCAGGGCTTGGTTTTTAAATCAAAGAGCGTGGATTCCATTAAATTAAAGAGCGTTACTTCGGCTAATGAAGTCTGCTGCTGCGCCGTGATGGCGCTTAATGTGTCCGCAGCACCGTGATGGTGCCTACTGTGGTTTCACGCCGTGATGGTGTCGAAAACTGCGGCCGGTTGGGTGCGCTGTGATGGCGCTTGCAGTGATACGCTGTGATGGCGCTTGCAGTTTCTGACTCGCTGCATGGCACACAAAACGGCAACGAGTTCTGTATTTCCTATGGTGAATGGATCCAGAAATTGCAATGCTCAAATTGAAGCTGAATTGAAAACGAGTCCAAATGAACTTTAGCCAACAGTGTGCCATAGTAGAAAAAGGTGCATCTCCACCTGTTGAAGTTCAAGCAGCGCCTTTACGCAGTGGTGACCATCCCCCCCCCGTTGTGTCACCCCGTTGTTTTCGGCGTGTTTCCCCCACAGGTCCCAGGTCACAGCCGTCGCGCAATTAGGTGAGAAAAACGGGCATCAAAAGATTTCAAATCCAAGGTGAAAAATCAGAAGTTGGAAAAAATGACAAGACATCCAAGGTGAAATTAATTAACGCCAAAGTGAAAATGATTTTTGCAAGGCGGTAGTGATATTTTTTCCTGTCATGGAAAACCAGTCATGGACATGCACATGTACCCAATATGCCAAAGTGTTGTGTCTCCCCCGTTGTAACACCCCGTTGTGTGGAAATAGCGTGCTTATGCGCATATTGTGCATTATGATTATTAACGGATGTAGGGTTTAAGGTTAGACACGACATATTTTTGATAGAAATGTCATTTTTGAACCAAATTTCGACCAAAAAAAATCGAAAAACAAAATATTTAAAATTTCATTCCAATACCTTGAGCATGATCCACTGAATGTTTTAAACCTGATTTTGGACATAATTTAAGGATAGAAATTAGTTTTTTGAACATATTTTGACAAAACATATTTTGGAAAAAAAACTTTTCAATTTCATTCCAATACCTTGAAAATGAACCAGTGAATGTTTTAAGATTGGTTGTGGACAAAAAATATGGATAGAAATTACTTTTCAAAAAATATCAAGGTATTCAGCAAATATGCATAATTTTACAATTTCAATATGTTACAAAAGCAACTTTTTCTAGTTTACAAACCATAAAAGTGACATTTCTCATTTTGCATCATTTTCCCGTTGTGGTTCTCCCGTTGTGTCGCCGAAACCTCAGCTGTTATTCTCCCGTTGTGTCCCCCCGTTATAACTTATCGCGATGTGTCCCCAGGTCCGACGCCTGGCCTTGGCTCGGCGTGGTGTCCTTTCTGTCTCTCCACCAACGCGCGCGCGCGTTTAAGGCGCCGAGAGCTGCTCGGGGTACACAACGGGTCCTCGGCAGACCTCGGCCTGGCAGGCTCTCGGCAGAGCACAACGGGGGGACACAACGGGAGAATACTCGGACAACTTCCTGCGACCACTTAGCACGGCAGCGGCTGCCGCAGTGCTGAAGCGGTCAAGTCTGCTCGGTCATGCTACAGGCCTGGCCAAATCACAGGCTTTCCTGATCGGGCGAGCACGTGTGAAATTGGCTAATGCAGATTGTACAGAGGCCAAAACATCAGGTTTGAGACGAAGATTGATACCATCAAGTGGAGTGTATACACCCAGCGATGACCGATTAAGGCCAGAACAAGCTGGTGAAATCTCGCACCAATGTCTACACAGGTATCGAAACATCTTCCGAACTATACCATAAAAATGTGTTAGGGTTGGCCGTACAAAAAGCGATCTCCTGTCACACATGGTCCAGCAACCGTTCATGGGATTACGAAACGGAAACAGGACAGAATCAACCTTGAGCAAACCAAAAGTGACCTCCAAATAACTAACTGAGGCCGGCACCCCCATATCATCTTCGTGAGATCGCAGCCAATCCAGCACATGTTGCAAAAATTCCACTGGAAACCCTAGAGTGTGTACAAAATGCAAAGGATCCAAAGCGGATGACAAAACATCAAGGAAACTGTACAAAACGCTGTCACTCTCATCCTCAGAGCAGTCAACTCGAACGCACGGCGTGTTTGACGTGTCAGTCTGAATGCGCTCAAAGATGGAAAAGTAGTATTTTCTCAAACGCTCGAAAAGACCAGTGAAACGCTCATCCCATTCCTTCTGAAAAAGCAGCAATTCTTGAAAAGCACTTGAGCGCTCTTCGTTGCACCGAACTGCCAGTGAGTCAGCATGTCCATTATTGATTGCCACCCACTCTTCAAAAGGTGACTCACAATCTGAAATGCAAAGGTGGGAAGGTATCCAGGTGGAGCCTATCAAACCAGCTAAATCATCCAAAAGCAGTTCGTCAACTACCAACCAGAGATCGGCATTGGCCTCTGCATGTTTTGTGACATAGCCAGCTAATCGTTTTTGAAGCCCACGGTGGATCTCCAATGCGTCGAGCCAAATGTGAGTCGCCCTCTTCCAGTGTTGCACCCATCGTAAGGCTGCAATCACCGCCGATAGTTCAGCTCTTGCTATCGTCTGAGGCAAACCCGCAAGCCATCCAGCCGCTATAGGAGATTGGGAAGTTGCGTTGTAGAGCCCCCAAGCGGCTCTTTTGGTCTCAAAACGTCCATCTTCACGATGACTGCCATCTGTGAAAAGGTGTTGAACCTCATCGCCCATGGGGCCAGAATGAAAAACGCCGGTGGTGTCCTCCAATTCTGTGTAATAGGTTCGCAGGGCTTCCACCCATGGAGAGCGTGGACATAGAAGGTGAAGCACGAAAGCTCGTGGCAAACCATCCAGCTCATCCGTCAAAGAAAAAGTTTCCCGTAAGTCCACATACTTTTTACAAGTGAGCAAATGTTCATGGGTTTGGGGACAAAAACAAACAGAACAAAAACCATCTTTAGTAACATCATATTTGCTATGAGACTTCGCATCCAGAAAGGTGCCGCTTTGCAGTGCTGATTGCAGCGAGCGCTCCAAGGCAGTGAGTTTGTGGTTATGCCACTTCACCACGTACTCATCCATGTCATTCAATGCCAGCATTGAAGGTCTCTGCAAAGTTGTAGCTACGTAGCAAAGCCATGAGTCTTTCAGAAGGTGCCTCAAAAGCATCCATGGAGTCTGCAGCAAGTCATGAGAAAGACCTTGCCGGTCGACAATGATGGGTGGAAGTCCAACACTCCAACCGATCTTGTTCAAGGTGTCCAGCAACACTCCAAAAGGTCCGTTGGTGATTTTGCCATCAAAGGATTGCATCCATAATCTCCAGCAGTCCAGTATTCGAGGAGAACGCCCACAAACTCGTCGAAAAGTCTGGAGTACCGAAAGAACATGGAAAAAGCCGGGGTCAGATTCCATCTTGTCATTCAAAGAAAAGCGCAAGAGAGCATTGGAGCCAGCCTGATTACATCTCAAAGCTTTGTTGGCTGCTTGTCGCAATTGGTGGTGGTAGGAGTCAGCCAATGGACAAGAAGCATTCCCATACAATGCGGATGCCCAAAAAGCCATCGGCAACACTGCAAACTTTTGTTCCAAAGGACAAGCACTTTTCCTCAGTCGTTCCCACTTGGCGTGGAGTTTGTCTCCACGAGCTCGAAGCTGTCGGTTGCGACGTGATGCTTCAAACGTCATGCTGCCTCCAAGTTCAAGAGCATCGCTCTGTATGGACAAACCCAAAAGCCGCAGCAGGGCTCTGGAACTCGCTGAAGTGCTCCAAAAGTAGGTCTTTGCAAAATCCAAGGCAAGCCCCCAAAGTTGAAAGAAGCAAATGGTGCTGAAAAATGCCGAAACAACATCCATCACCTTGTGTCCTGCCTCAGAAACATTGTCAACGTAGGAAAAGGCATGCACAGAGGGAGCTAATGCGGAGAGATAAACATGTAGAGCCCAATCAATCAGGACCATCCCAACCACCGAAAGTGAACATCCCTCTGGTAATCCTTGTGAGCTA